CGTCAAATTCCCCCTTTTTTATTTTTTAAATGATAGCGCATGCAAATCAGTGGCCACCTCTCAGATTGGGCCATTTAAGACTCGGAAGAAGACTGGCAAGCAATGACAGTGAGCATAACTATAAACATAGTGGATGGTGCGCACAAGGAGCCCCATTCCTGTAGAAGGTTGCCGGTCTCTTCAGTCAAGGGATTTCAGCTGTCCTCAAGTTGTTGGTTTGATTGTCTTTGTTGGTCTGGCTAGCGGACAGCATCACTGGCGACGGGCTTCCCGAAGCGTCAGGGAGTTGAAGGGCTGCATCAAAGGGTCCATCAGGGCCGTGGAGGAGTAAGCTGTGCCTTCTGGGTCGGCTGAGGTCCTAAAACTCTGAGAACAAAGGATGTTAATGCCCTTTCACAATAAAAAGATTTGTTTGATCATTCTTGCATAACTTCCTCAGAAATGACCCAAAATATATGAGACAATACTTAGGCATCACTCACCTTGAAAGCACATACGGATAGGGGAGGAAGGGAATGTCAAGAGAACCATATTGGTACCAATTCCTGTATCTTCTTAAATTTGAGAGATTCAGGAATCTGACTCCTGTCTGAAAAGCAAGCTATTTTTAAAAGGCTGGATCTTTGTTGGAATATTAAAGAGAATGTATCACACTCTTGCCAATAGTGAGATACAGGTGTGTTTCTTGAAGTCAAATGTAGACTCTGATCAAGGAACGTGGCCCTGAATTGCCTTGAAACTCTAATGCAAATTGTAAATAAAAAAGTGGGCCTGGAATAGCAGAGGTGGTGTGGGAGGTGTTAGGAGCAAGTGATCTGGGAATTGAAGCCAGAGTTCCCAGTGGGAGGACCTCATCAACATTTGGAGAACTGCTCCCCTGCCAGATTGCACAATTATCAGTCAAGCTATACCTTTATATCTTTCACCTCTATTTCCTCTTCCCATTTGACCCCCCAAGGATCCCAGAGACCACATAGTGAATGGAGAAGGGAGAGTGGAAGACCAAGGT